TCATTATATATACTTATTTCTGCAATGAAATTAAAAGTTTGCTTAGAGTTTTGTTTTTCCAACAGACTTGTGCTTCATTACATATAACAATTAGTAATAATAATTCAATATAAAACAGACAACACCAAAGACAGTATGACTAGTACAGCAGGTAAATGATTCAAATTAATGATGCTCTTCTGCATGAAAAGCATTGACATTATTTAAATCATTAGATTGTACTTCCTTAGAAATATTAACATAATTCGGGTTAATATTTTTTCTGCGTCAGTATCATCAACATAATTTAAAGGATTATTTTATTTTTCATGATGAACATTAACATATTCATAGTGTTAAATTTATGATTTCCTAACGGAAATGCATCGTTTACTATATACATTCATCTCTACAAAGCTGGATTTTCAACATAATTCCAATGTTGACAAGTTTTATAAAGATTTAAATAAATATATCTAGGATATTAAATTGTTTGAGTTTTGGCTTGGTCTAATATTTTCATGAAATTATTGACGAAATTGATTTAATTCTGTTGAACATTGAGTTTCAGTTAGCTTTAAACGCACGGTTTTTGAAACAATTTCATCGCTTTGTTTTGAACATCTATAATCGAAATTTCACTTTCATGCTTCATTAGCAATTTTCGTATGAATTTATTTTTCATATCAGAAACAAATAATTCATAATCCATGTAATATATTAATAATTCTTTCGTATTGAGTTAATATTTTTCATTCATTTTCAGTAACTTGTATTAATAGATTTATATCTTTTATATTTAAGATTTCATTAAAATCAATTGCAAGTACTTATTTTGTTCATCATCACGCATTGGAAGTTAATCATCAAGAATTCTTTTACATTCATAAATCTTAATATGATGAATTTGTTAATATTCTTCATGAAGAATAAAATAATCCTTTATTTTATATTGATGATTATGATGTCGAAGAAGGTGTTAATTCGAATAATGTCAAGATTTTTCATGAAGTAAAACATAATGACTTGTATAATCGTAATGTTCTTCGTGCAGAAGAATATCAGTAATTTAAATTACTTACTTGCTCCACTACTCACGCTCTCTTTGATTTTGTCAATCGATATGGAATTAATAATACTTGTTATATATAACGAAGCACAACTCTACTGAAATAACAAGCTTCTGAGCAGAATTTCGATTTGAAACCAAATATAGGAGACATAATGAAACATAAAAACATACTAAGTTATTCTTTAGATTTTGTTAAAACATTATCGAATTTCTTAAATAGTTTATTCTTCCAGTTTAACGTCATCATTCAAACAACAGTAGCACAGGGCAGATGACCTATCATAGAACTAAACAGTGAAATATTCGTCGGCGATGAACGAGAACTCGCATCTTCTATGCATACTACTGCCTCTTTAGACAAGAGATTACAAGTAAGCACAGCCTGGTAATCCTTCATAATTTTTCATTTCGGAATGACATGTAATATGTGACTCTTCACAATGAGTACATTTATGGGCAGTTCTTTTTGAAGTGCATAATTCCATAACAGTTGGAGCAAATCAATATATTTGCTTGTGAATAAAATTCGACCGCCTTGAGTTGCACGTGTATAATCAAAATTTTGTTGACTACTAGTATTTCATTACGTAATTCAGGCGATAGAAATTTCAATTTAACTAGTCGTATCTATTGTTATGCTGTATTTTTTTAACGAATGCTCGAATTCAATAGACGAATGATTTATGAGAGATTGAGGTTATAGTTGTACGTTTGATTTAGACACACTCTTAATATCATTGCAATTTTGATGAGGAATTGGTATGATGGTGATAATGCTTGTTATTGATTCATGTTGAAATAAATCATCCACTTTTGTATCAGTGAGAAACGAATGTTTAATTGAAGACGATATTTGTTGCAATTGAAGATGATATGGAGATGTTAGACACTAGCTGATGAGTAATGATTTGACTCTTAGATCATTGTTGGAACTATATACAAAATTGTGAATTATTGATCGGTTGGTAGTTTACTTAATACATTACAACAGAGGATTTGTTATTTTTGTGATGGTTCGTTATTGATTCTAAGTAGTACAAGAATTATCACTTCCTACATGCGAGAATTTTCATTCAGCATATAGACTGGTTGCTATTGATCAATAATATTATGAGTTTGTGTATTTTAGTAAATCATTTGCGATAAATATTAACAAGTTTTAGACATAGATTCTGATGAGAACGACGAGTGAAAATAAGAAAACAAAATGAGAAGCACCAAGAGCAAACACTTCAAAAGCGAGCGAAGCAAAGAAAATGATTAGTTCTAAATGCCTATAATGTTTAATCAACTGTTTTCTCAACATACATATATATATATATATATGCTTATTCATTATATCTGTGAAAACAGTGAATAATAATGCGTTTAGTTTTACTACTTACATAATAATTCTTAAAATAAGTCTTAATAAAATCTAGATTTATATGAGTGAAGGTAAACTACTGTGTACGACTCTTATTGAATACGGCAGTTATGCTAAATGATGAAATTGCAGGGCATTGTATTTTTTGAAGAAAACGACACAGAGAAGGAATAAATATTCATTCCATGCTTAAGTACTTGTTGGGTGTCTTAATCTTTTCAAGTTGTGTTCTGGCAATATGTCATACTTCTCATAATATTGATTTATAGTCTTTTTAAATATATTTTTTTTTCTCTATAGAAATAGAACAGCTTATATTACTTTTTAATACAGCAGTTCTGTTTCTTTTTTATAGTAAATATATTTTATATTATTCTTTGCTTATTCTTACGTGAAGATTTTGTAATTTGATATTGTAGATCTCACTGTGAATATATTCTTCTTTGCATAGAAGAACAGAAATAGAACGAAAACGATAAGAAAAAAAAAGTAACTAATCCTCTGTGTTTTGTCTAGATTTGAATCGATAATATCATTCAAGATTTTTACCTTTTAGTATATTGTATGTTAGTGATCTGCTTCAATTAATACTATTTTCGACTTCTATTCGACCTTCACAAATTATGTTACATTTTTTTTCTTCTTTTTATTATTTTTTTCGACACCTGTTTCCATGAGAGAACAACTGTCTTCTTATGCTTTATTGAATTTCCATTGGTAAAATCACAATGAGAAACTTTATTCAATAGTTTTGCTTCACTCAATTGGAAGATGAATGTCGACAGACATTTATATCACTATTTAATAACAAAAAGGTTATATTGACATATAAAAAAAAAAAATTTCTGTTTAGCTCGTAAATGATCATATTTGCATCTATTCACAAAACATATATTTTTTTTTAATGTCATGAAGGTTAAAAATAAGTCTTTTTTAATCAAATCGATTTATTATTTTAATAATAATTTGTCCAATAGTAACATTTGTTGATATTACATTTATTGTATTCTAGCACTTTAGGTTATTGAAGAAAAACCCTTCAAAATGTATTTACAATTGTGTCAAACGATATCTAATAATAAATAGTAGAGAAATGGTGTTAATTATCAAAAAAAAAAAAAAGTAAAGGATAATTAAAAACAAATGTATAGTAAAACTAAATTTGTGTCAAGAAATCATTTTTCTACCAGAATAACGAACAAAAAAGTCAATGAATAACATCATAAAAAAAAAAGTGTATCAAAGGTTGATGTATTTCATTAAGTACGCTCAAGTTTTATTTGATAGCTTATATTCAAAAAAATTATTTAAACGATAATAAAAAGTGACAGAATAAATGTCAATTATGCTAATTTGACAACTAATCCATTTATTGAATGAAATATGCCTCAAATAAATCGAAATGCAGCCATTGAGAATAGTTTTAGAACTAAGTGTTTGCATATAAGTTGACAGTAAAAAATTTCAATAGATAATTTGTTAAAAAAAAATAGCAATATATCTAAAGGAATTATTTTCGACATAATTTATAGTGAATTTTATAACTTAAAGTAAAGATTTCGACAATAATTTCTGCACCTTAGGCTGAAAAACAAAAAAATTAATAATTATATTTAAATGATTAGAATTCGAGTAATACTCAACAATAAGCAATGAATAATTATCAAAAAAAAAATTCAAAATTGAAGAAATAACAAAAAAATGATTAAAATTCTGTAGTAGTTTAGACTATGAAATTTTTACATTAATAAATGACATTCAGCGAATACATCCTAATATGAAATATCGAAATAGAAATGACAATAGATTATAATTGTTTGTTGTTTGTAATAAAATACTTTTCAAACAAAATCAAAATATGAAATGATAAAACAAGACTACGAAAACATAAAATAGTTAGCAAACGAAAATAAGAATCATTTAATATGGTCCTTGTTTCACCATTCCAGATTGTTCATATGTAGGTGGCACATTTACTGGTTGTCCAAATGGTGAATGCATATTCATACCCATTGGTTGTGTTACTAAAACTGGTGCTGATGCTAAAACTATAGAGAACATATTCAGTAATATATAAAGTTTTTATATGATTATATACCTGGAGAAGCAACTGAACGATATTTAAGTTCACGTGCTTCTTGACAAATTGCACATGGAGCACAAAATGTTGTTGCTAGACAATCATTACAATCTTCTTCAAGACTAAAACGATTACGTAAAGCTCGCCGTTTGCTCATATGTATTAGACAACATAAACTAAATCCTGATAGCAGGTACCATAAACAACATGAGCCACAACAACTACTGCCATCAATTCTTTCCGCATTTTCTCCAAATAGACACGGTGTACAACAATAGCCATACAGACAAATACCACAGTCGTTGAAACAATCAAAAAGTCCACCTAAAAAAGTGTTTTTATATAGTTTTTTTTTGGATAGTAGTTGCTGTTGTTTTACATACTGTTCCAAGCAGCCATATGTTTAGTCGTTGAAAGATAAAAAAAAAAAATAGTAATTTTTTGGTTGGTTTCACTCAAATAAAAATGTACGTTGCAATAATTTATATAGTTAGGCTTCTTATCAGTTTATATTTTTTTTTTTTTGTTATTTTTTTTCTATGCTATAAACATAATGAAAATTAAATTCTATAATAATAAATAGTTGGCGCATTCTATGATAGGCATATGTTCACACAAATAAAAATATTATGATAAGCTTAACTAAATAAAACCTGATAGCATTTAAATTTCATTCGACTGCACAATATGTTGCGAAGCTTAGACTACCAGTTGACAAAAGATTATTTTTTTATGGCTTATTACCGAAGGTTTTTTTTTTGTTCCAAAAGATATTTACGTATTACTCAAAACCAACCGATCAAGAGTTCATACTTACTATTAAAAGTACTCTATTAACATGTAGAAACTTAATATTTGATGTATGTTTTAATTGTCTCGAAGCTTAAAAAAGAACGAAATTAGCAAAAATTTGCGTTGTTTTAAGTGGATTCTTCTTAGGAAATAAAATGTGCGATTGAAGGTCCGAAAAAAAAATACGGGTAGTATGTACTTGATCATGTATTTTCATCGTTGAGTTTGAACAAATATTTTCTGACTTTCTATTCTTGACATCAGATAGTAACTTTTAATGGGAATATCGAGAAAGAAAAAAAGAACTACTTAAATGTTGTACTTTGTCTCGGATTAAATAACCTAAGTCAATCTTTAGATAAGATAGTAATCATGATTGTTGCTTAAAGAGAATTAATTCTATTTTTACTAACGAATAAGACAAATAAAAAAAATGTATGTTGACAATTTTCAATAAAAATTTCAAATGATAGAAAATATATGAAACGAAAATCGTCTCTAAAAACTAATGAAATCAGGAAAAAATGTAATCAGATATACATGCAAATAAAAAATGTGAGATACTGTAGAAATCTTATAGTAAAAGTCAGTATCTGATGGAAATCATATCTTGCATCTATTTCTTCTTAGGATATTTTTAGTCTATACATTCTCTATTTATCAAAATTATTTGAAATGAAGATATTTTTATCATTTGTGAAGGTTGCTTTGTAAGATAAATTCATTTGAACGATTCTATTTGAAGAAATACATACTCAATTGTATTCATCGAACATTAAACGACAATTTGAAGGAAGCTGTACGCTCAATGTGTAGCTGTTCTTACCAATCATCGGAAGATTATTTTATTCTATCTATTTTTCGACATATTTCTTCACTATTCTCTTACTGAATTCTCCCCAGATACAACAAGGAAATTGCTCATTTTTTATAACAAGACATTATTGATGCACGATCTATGATAAGAGAAGACCCAGGCAGACAACAAAACGGCGTTTAAACGTCTCAACTGTTTAAACAGTGTCATTAGTCGGCAAAAACGCGTTAAAACGGTTTATGAAAAATTAACTTTTAACACGTTTTACATGTTTAAACGCTTGGAGTCATTGAATTTGTAACTGTTTTAACGCGTTTTTGGCGACTAATGACACTGTTTAAACAGTTGAAATAATTTGCGATGTCATGCCTCTTAATGATCAACAAATGTTTCATCTAAACAATAAAATATCAATAATTTATAATTAAATTTTCTTCTCATTGATAAACTGATCGACTATATTCAAATTATCGTTAGATTAATGTCAATGTAACATTAATCTAACGATAATTTGAATATAATCGATCAGTTTATCAACGAGAAGAAAACTGAATTATTTCCATTCATGTTTCAAATAAGTGACGGATAAGATAGACTGATGAATAGATTTAAAATAGTACGACTAACACAGGAATTGATGAAAAGGCAAAGCACGGACTATCTAACCAGCTTCTAATATAAAGAAAACTACAATCGGAACTACTATGGTAGACAGATGTTCTTTTCAAGTATCATTAATAAATTTAACTTCCTTTCGATCAAATTCTAAAGTATCAAAGTTCAGAGATATGATATAACTAGAAATGTCATCAATGCACTACGAAATCTCATAATTATAGTTTGTATTAAGTCGGTCATGAAATCGATTAAGCCACACCTATGCACCAGAATGCTATCTGTTTTTTCCTGTAGTGACGATATTTCTTTTAAAGCTCATTCATATTTCGATGACTTAAGATTCCCTTTTCATCAAGTAGAAAACTCAACTGTTTCAAACGTCTCATATGTCACACGTACTCGTGATGAACATCCTATATGAAGCATTTCAAGTGAGGAATATTTAATGGATCCTGCTATGTTTATCGTCTGCGAGCGACTCTTCTAGTTGTATTGTCATCAGTATCGTATATGTTATGTCTAAGTCAACACTAACCTAGTGAATATTGAAGTATTTTTCACAGAAACTCACTATTAATAGCAATGTAGTAAGTGCCCTATTCTTTCTCTCATTCTGAGTAATTTCCGCAGAAAAGAACTTATCTAATTCGAACATATCCAGTCTTACACAAAAGAAGCATGTGCCATTACATATAGTGAATTTAACATTATTTTTAAGTATACGTTAGAAATAAAATGGCCTACTCAGTTAGGCAAGTACTCAGTGAACGAAACAGAACACAAATGAATTCCAAATGAAAAGAACAGGCAGCAAATCAAAGATAAACTTTGTTACATTCTCATCAGATATTAACACCGAACAATATTTGTCTTAACGATTTTCAATTAAGAGTGGAATATTGCTGAGTAGATATACTAACAATACATCAATAAAGAATATGTAAACTCACTAGGCGGAGTATTTTCAGTAAGATCGTTATACTGCTATCGATTTTGACTTCGATTTAATGGCAATAAAAAAGTTTTCTTGGTTTAAAATTCCTATTCACTAATCATAAATATCGGACCTGATCTTTTGCTGTTTATTAGTAAAAGATACATATTCTAACCATCAGTTGCCTGTTACTAATAACAACGAGCCGTAAAACTTACTACTTACTAGAAAGTAACCAGACTGATTACTCACTATGTTGTGTTACGTGATTTAGATACATTCAACCAGGTATAACTGTCACAGAATAGTTAAATTAAAAATTTACTACTCATTAGTAACAGATTAGCAGCGCAGACTATCACCTACTAACAACTAGTTAGTGACGACGTACATTACTTACTGACAGCATAATAATAAAATTTTTGTAGCTTTGATTTTTTTTTTTTTGGTAATCGAAGCAAAACGGAAAAATACCGTTAAAACGTTTTTTTTTCGAAAAAAACGCGAAATTGGGGCGTTTTTAACGGTTTTGTCAAATTTAGTTGAAAATAAAATGTAAAAACGATTTAAAAATGAAAAATTCAGTAGTAAACGTGTTTAAACGAGTTAAAACAGTGTAAACGCTTTTTTAACGCGTTAAAACGCCTTTCTAGCCGTTTATTGTCTGCCTGGGACAAACGAATCCTTGTATATTCGTACATTTTGTCGTGAATAAATTATCTATCAATCCATCCTGTAAGCATTGTGCTCTATTATACTTGTAGTGACAAATGTTGGCTACATTTTCACATTAACCAGATATCTGCATCCTGCAATATGAGGGAGAAGTTCGAAATATATGGAGACTAACTTTTGATATGTTTCATATTGAACGTGTTTGAAAAGATAAATAATAATCATAAAAACGTCGTAAAGTTAAACTAGTAAGCTTGTATATCAAACATGCAATTGCAAAATTGCAGATACACAAAATACAAATAAAACCAAGCACATCTCATGGAATTAATCCTTTCAAGAGTCCTCTACTTTAAGATCCCATGTATTTACCACTAAGCCAGCCTATGAATATATAGTATAATTAATTATCCATAGAAACCTGTTAGACGTTTTGTTCATCGAAACAAACAAGTTTCATTTCTAAAAATAATTAAGAAATGAACATAGACATTTTTTTTATGATTTCTTCAAAAGAAGAAAAATATTTTCTTATCATTATCGTGCGATGCTTTTCTTCCATTGTAATTGTTGTCATCACCAGCAGTGGCACGAGAGATTTACCTCTATGTATACATATCTTATCAGTGACATAAAATAAAACAAAAAAAAATGAAATAAGTCAGTTTAACGCATAAACATCATATACGCGAACGACTTCAGTTCTCCAACAATAATGACTTCTGCAACTTCTGCGATAGAAAAATTAAAAGGAACATGGGACTATGTTAATGGTGAGAATTTCGATGAATACTTAAAGGAAATGGGTAAAACAGTCGAGACGAATAGTTGTAGTTATCTAATCAAATATTTCACTGTTACTTTCCAGGTATTTCATGAGTAATACGTCAAGCTGCAAAAGCTGTAAAGACCGAAAAAATGATTA